ACCGTAAAAAAGGAAAGGTGGTGCAGAAAAACTTTGAGAAAGGAAAAAAAAGGGCTTAAGTCCGACGCTGCTAAATGCGTAAAATTAACCGAACTCTTTTCAAAAGGTTTAAATTCGGCTGCTGCAGCGGAGGACAGTTAGTGCCGCAGAGGTAAGAAGAAAACAGAAAATACAGCTAGCACAAGTCATTTTCACACTACTTCTGCCAGTTAGCTCGTGTTTTTGTTTTTATGTTTTTTGTAACAGTTGTAAGCTTAGCATAGAACCCCAGTATATTTTAAAATGTCATTGCTTCGTGATAATTGGTTAACTTAAGTGTTAACGAGCCTGTTACTGAATTGCATCCTCAGATAAAGTGGGATTTAGGGTAAACACTGATATAGGCTACTTGCAATATAGTCTAACACATCAGAAACCTATAGCAATAGCCATAGTACTGTAGACATTAGTGGACTTTACTTTGAATATGTAGATAGTCATATATTAAAATAAAACATTGAGCACGCATACAGTACATACGTTTATAGTATGCAATTAATCCTTAGGTAGGGTGGACTGCAGAGTCAAGTGTCATGGAGGTAGGAAGACACAATGAGAGAGACACACCCTGATACAGATGCTGCCAGTTTCTTAATAATGTGGCTCTAATTAACTATTAATTAACTCTTAGGATAGGAGGAACCTGTGCCTGTGTCACACACACACACACTCACAGAGAGAGAGAGAGATAGAGAGAGAGAGAGATCACACTCACACACACACTTTAACACACACAAATGCACATGCAGCACATACTAGCAACACTTCAGCATACTTTAATTCACAAATAATTGTCTATCAAAAAGGATTTACTGCTGCTACTATTTATAGTTTTTGTTATATATTCTATTCCCTTTTTTGCTATTATTACTTGTTTGTATTCATGTGTATTCCAATGCTGAGAGCAGTCAGTGAGAAAATATTTTGCTGTAATGTTTACATCCTATACTGTGTTCATTAACTAGGATGTTGCTGGAATCAGTACAGCCAGAGACCCCTGGTTTTCCAATACCAGTGCTGTGAGGAAGGATGCTACGGTAGGCCAAGCAGAGACAGGGAGGAGTGTGGTAGAGGTAGGAAAAACCCAACAGACAGACAGTGACAACAAAGAACAACATACTGTAGAGAATGACAGTAACAGCAGACAAATGGCATAAACAGCACACAGACTCTACAACATCCTCAGATTCTTTTTCTTTTGTTTTAACTGTATGTGTAAATTTGTTATAAACGTGTGCTCTTTAAAAAGTAGTAAGCATTGTTTGCCAGACACATACATTAAATGTTTAAATATCTGTTACATATATGGTACTGCTTATATTATTTCACCATCTGTACACAAGATTCAAGATTTTTTATTTGTCACATACATGGTTTTATAGAGAATATATGACCAGCAGTGAATGTAAGTAGTGAATGTGTGTGTCCGTGGGTGGGGCTGTGTCGGTGTGGTAATGTGGGCCGGTGTGGCTACAGTGCCAGGGCTGAATTTTTGTCCCAGTCCACCCCTGTATCTATCTATCTATCTATCTATCTATCTATCTATCTGGAATTTTTGTCCCAGTACGCCCCTGTATCTATCTATCTATCTATCTATCTATCTATCTATCTATCTATCTATCTATCT